TACGTATAACACGTATTACCTGTGTTATATGTATTACCTGTGTTATACGTATTACCGTGTTATACGTATTACCTGTGTTGGTCGTATTGTGCATGTTACCCATGTTTGTTGTCTCACATATTTTCGTTTTCTTCATGGGCAGCCGCCATTTCCTTTTCACGGTTTCTTCTTGCTTCACGTTTCTCGATACTTTGCTGTGACAAGTCGATGTCATGGTAAGGCTTCGGACCCATTGAATCCCCTTTCATTGCAGCATTCTCGACTTCACTTATCGTACTTGTGATTTGCCCAAAATGTGCTTTAGTTTGTAGGTGGTAACTGAAAAATAAGTCCTTTTTTAGGAAGAAAGACTCTACCAGGAAAACCTTCAGCTTTTCTATCAGTTCTCCCCCCAATCTTCCTCTGTGGAGATCCTCGTCTTCGTCAAGGTAATGCATGAGCATCTGCTGAGACAAATCCGCTTCTTCTCTTGTCTGATATCGGGCAAATTTCCATAGCCAAGACACGATCATCTCCCACTCAATCACATCGTCAGTCTCTGTCAATTGTGCAATGATGGATTTGAATTTGGATGATTTGGTAAGATTTCTGTTCAGCTTGTGCCAATTACAAAGCTGAACTACAGCATTTGAGAATGGTTTGCCAACACCGGTCTGTTGTTGGAACATCATGTGCAATTCCCTCTTTTCGGAGTTTGTTTTGTAGGTGCTATCACCAGACTTGAACTCGGGATACATTTGGAACAATCTCTGGGAACTTTCACCCGTCCAGGCAAGTGCAAGCAAAATCATTCCAGAACCTGTGATGGATAGAGCGTCTCTTACTTTGTTCGCAAAGGATTCAGCACTGTCCGATTCATCTGTTAGTGATTCAGGATCAATGTTCTGAGGTGTGGCTCCCCTATGTGATTGTCTGATTCGAAGAAGGCCGGATTCATATGAGGCAAATAGGACAACGGACGATTTTGTTGGGTCGGATTGCAATCGGGCAAGTAGTGCAGTAGCCTGTCTGCAGCTGTCGCCTCCTGATGCGGTACTTGAGAGATGGTACCGTCTGGCTTCACCAAAGACAAGACAACTCCTTGATGCAAACTCTTCCTTAGAGATTCGATTTGTTTCGAAGTTAGAGATGAGCCTGTCGTTCATAAAGTAAAGTCTTAACAACACTTGGCGAGAGGTGTTCTTTAGGCATTGTTCCGCTAGTGTAACGGCTTCTGTGCCAAGATGAGTACTTAACACTTTCACTTGTGCTCTTCTAGTTGTACATGGCCAGATGAAGCTTGTTGCCTGTCTGGAACTTGGGTAGATACATCGTCTGTGTTCCTGGCTTTATAGAACATTGAAAGAGATGGACATTTGACACCCTCCCCTCAACAGGAAGCTGAGTCTGGGTGGTTTTGTTGCTGTCCTTTTGGGACCTTTGTTTGTAAAAACGACTCCTTGGACAACATAGGTAATGTGATTCCGCCTCTTATCAAATCCCTTGTTTTTGATGCGGAATCCAGCAGTCTTGCAAGGAATACAAAGATGCAAATCTTTAATATGCGCCGGATCACAAGATGATACATCGAAGGTAGCAATACACGTCGATTTCTCCATTCGATAATTATCGAACCCCAGAGTATCCTAATGTTTATCTCCTTTGGTATCATCAGTTAGTGAGGTTGCTACATTCACAATGATGGAAGCAGGAGTCCATTCTTCATCATTGTATTGTATCTAGCAACATGAGAGAGTTCAGATAGTAAGAGTCCATTTTACTTGATAAGCTGTCAGTTATTATGGCCTGCAACAGTGCATCTTCCTCTTGCCTCCCAAACACCTGGAAAACACGCAACTTGCTAAGAAAACACCTGGCAAAAAAACTTAGAAAAAATTCGTCGCTGTGTATTATACGTAAAATAGTATAACACATAATACATTATAATACGTATAATATTTTTCCATTGTGTTATCTGTGTTATACTATAACACGTAAACAATAATGATTGTAATACGTATAATTTGTTACTTGTGTTATCTTTGTTTATACGTATGACTTGTCTATTATACGTATAACTTGTTTAATACATATTAAAAATGTTATATGTGTAATACGTATAATCTGTAGAATACATAGTGAAAATGTTATACGTATAATACAACCGCGTGCGTTTCAGGGGCTCTCTTGAGAATTCTCAACTTAATCGGCGGAGCAAGGACCCAGGAACCTGAGGATATCTTTTCAATACCGGTACATGCGGTAAATAAAAATTTGTTTCTAAAACGGCTTGTTCTGATGTTACAGTGGCCACGTAACCTCATCTACCCGAGTAAACGCGAACACTGGACCGTTGCAACCTCGTTGGCAAGGCGCGATACTGTGACGGTTGGTACATTATCTAGACGCACACTTCTCTGTAGGGTACTTCAAGCCCCATGAGACTTTGGCATGGCAGTCGGGTTGCATGGGAAGGGTTGTTCCTTGCTCTCAAGGACCTTTCCCAAAGGCAAGGTTCCAAGAAGAAAATCAGGGGTAAAAAGGGTGCAGGGACGTAAAATTCGACGTACCGGTACCTGGTACCCTCCCTCCCTATCGGTGGCTACTGGCTAGCTAGCATCGGTACACGGAACGGAACGGTGCATTAGGATGCTGTTGCTTGGTGGCTGGAGTGTTGCCAAGACGGGCAACATACCAGCACCCGTACCGGTACTGTGTACCGGTACGGCCATAGCAGCGTCGAAGGCGAGCACGATTGTTGTGTGAGGTGATCCCGCGCGCACGAGGCCATGCCGGGGCTACGACTGCTGTTGAGCCATCATGTTGCTGCGCTCGACGAAATCGGCAAGCATGGCCAAATTATGAGAAACCTATGCGAACGAACAACTTCTGCAAAGGAGGACAATACTACAGTATGCAAGATCGATTAGTTGACTGATAAATTCGTTACATGTTGTGGACCACAGCTTCTGCCTCCTTCGATTCCGATGTCAGTTCGATGCAATGAGGGTCATCTACATATCCAAGAAGGACAGATATAAGCCTGGAGGCAGTCCATTCGAGACGCATCTGCTGCCCATCATTGCTGATGTACTGGAATTCACTGACCTTGTCACTCGATTGCATCTGGCGGCTACATCTCCAACTGTACGAAATGCAGTCTTTCAGCAGGAACGCAACAACTCGCAATCCACGAACACGGTTGATTCTGTGATAACTCTATGGGCGAACCTCAACTTCACAGCGATTCCTGGAAAGGAACGCCTGACAGATAAGCAACTTTGGTCCATTTTTCAAAATGTCGACGCAGTTTCAAATGTGAAAGTACTTCGCCTCGGTGGATGTCACAGTCTCCGTGGTACATGTCTCGCGGCATTGCAAGGATCGACAACCCTGCAACGAGTTGAATTCTGGGGCACTAGTGTTGCCATTACCAGAGACTTTGTCCTCAGACTTTTCCGGCCATTGCTGAGCAAGTCGCGCTCTCGAGATTCGGAGGTCTTCATACACTACGCCCCACCGCGCTTGACTCTTGGCAAGACTTCTTCCTTTACGTACCGCTATCTGACATGCCGGGACAGAGCAATCTGCAGTACCTGCAGCACTCAGACCACGGAAATCGCCATGACTCCATGCACACATTGCGGACGCGACGTATGTGGTGTTTGCTGCAGTCGCATTGAGAACAAGGACTCAAATCATTGTCGACGTTGTGAGACCATGCTGCTCTGTTCGGACTGCAGCCCCGTCGTCGGTTTTCTTACCTCCCTTGTGAGTCGCAGGATGTGTGCACCCTGCGCTGGAAATCTGGCAGAATGTTTCTCTAACACGCAGAGACATGAGGGGTGCTTCCTCCTTCCACCCCAGCAGCTGCGCTGAGCAACAAGAGGTGCAGCCATCCCACCGCACACGTCGCGTTAACGAGACTTTGACCAAGAGGTTGGCTGTCGTTCCGCCTTGAAGTTTGAAGGCCTTTGTTGAAAGCGCAGAATCCACGACAGGCGAGAATCCACAACACAGTCGTTGTCCCAGATTCCCATGACAGATACTATCTCCTGGTAAGGACCAGCGCGTTCATCCATCCTAGTGTTGGCTTCGCGCCGCTGGTCCTGTGATACTCACTGTTGAATGAACCCATAAAAACTGATCAGAACAGCAAAGAAGTCACCATACGACATTATGCATCCATGGGTTTCAGCTTTGATTTGTAGGCCCCAAGTGATGGATCTCCCACAGCCTGGTCCCGTCAAAGTCTTCGTTACTTTTGTCAAAGATGGCCCGTTTGATCGTGTATGTAGAGTGCTACTTTGGCGCAAGGTTGCTTCATCAAAGAGTATTGGCAACAATAAGGATGTCCAAGGGCTTACTGTGAAGGTTGTATTCTTTTTGCTGGTAGTCAGTAGTGAGCACCACCTTGTCGGCGACAGAAGACTGGCCATACTTCGACTAACTTCTTGACTTGAATGAGGTTCCCTGAGTCTACCAATGCCGTGATGTAGCTAGCCATTGTGCACCAATCATCAACACTGTTGAACAACCTTAATGTATGTACTAAATCTACAAGAGACAACTGTGAACATTTCGACCAATCCAGTGGAAACACCATTATTCATCCAGAATCAATGGAGCCAAAACGTCTCTTGGCCCGGTCTCCAACCTCTTGAACGAGAATCAGAATCGCACTGACTTTGACTGAACAAAGCACAGGGCCCTGGAGACAGTACGCGAGGATCTTCGGCTTGGCTTGTGACTTTGCGAAGCTCCTGCTGAGGTGCTTGACACGAAGGGTCGATGCTTTCTAAGCGGACTGCTTCTTTCCCTGTTGGTTGTTTTCCCGCACCTCGATCATGTTCTGTTCACATCCGTTCGTAGAAATCCTCCGATTTGTGACGCTCAATAGTCACCACCAAGATATAGTCAACATCACACCAAGCCACGAACGTACGGCGGAGACACTTCCTGCAAGCGGGAGCCATGACAATGTCAATCGCAATGCCACTGCTGTCGATCTCAGTTTCAAAGTCGAATGTGGCCTTGGCCAAGTATACATCCATGTAGCTTTCAATGCATACTCGTCGTATTAGGCTTGCAACCAACAGCATACCAACGCCCAAACCAAGAAATCCAGAGGCGGCGACAATCAGCAACAGCTGAAAGGCTTGTTCGGCTTGTCCATCCTCAAATTCGACAAAGTCAGATAGGACAAACACGAGGAGAAAGAAGAAGGCCAAGAATGGGACCGCAAACAACCCAGTCAGCAACACTGTAACAAGACGCTTGAACTTGGATGCAGGAGCAATGGCTTCGTAGATGGCAAGACGAAGGGCGTGCCACTCTTCGCTCGTTAGTCGTGGTCGAATTTGCTCTGGTCGTCCGCTACTCAGAAACCCATCCGTGAGCTGTATTGGAATGCGAGATCGAGAAGGCATTGATCTAATGAAGGGTGCTGTAGATGCACAGGTCGATGGCTTCGCTCTCCTTTGTTTTTGGTTGGTTGCTTGCTTGACTTCATTCGTTTGGAGTTAGTCTAGTTCTGTTAGATTTTTAAAGATTCGATTCGTTGCCTCGATCCGCCGTTTCATAAAAAAAGGGGGACATGGCTCGCCAAATCCAGACACAGCTCGCAGGCTCCAGCTCGTGCCCCATCCAGCGACCGTTGGAAACGATTCGATTCGATTCAGCAATCCATATCATACAGCTGAGACTCCAGTGACGGTTGAGGTTACAGTCTCTACATGTAGCTAGCTATGACATAGATTCTTAGCTATTTTACAGCAACAGTAAACAAGCCCTAGTTGCAGCACCTCGCGGTAAAAGACTGGTAACCATGAAAAACCAAAATTGAATTTGTAAAATAGAAGAATACGTTTAAATTGCATCTCTCCAAAGCGCAAGCATGGCCTGATTCCGAGCAAGGCAAGTCAGAAAACCGAAATTTACAAGGAAAGATCCAGAGGGCTCTCATAGAATACAGTCTTCGGACGAAGACAGGGTCTTATAAAGAAGACGCTGTCTTCGGTTTCCAAAAGAAGATGCTGTCTTCGAAGACGCTGTCTTCGAAGACACCGTCTTCTTTTGTCTTCGAAAGACGGGTTCTTTTCCTATCGCCAAGAGTGGAGGTCAGCGATCACACGGAATGGTTCGGTCCGGTCGTGGTTGTGCTTCTGCGATTCGATCGTGCTTTGCAATTGCCGGTTTCGTGTTCTGTATTCTGCCACGCTCCGTTCCAAACATCTCTCTCTTTTTTTT